GGGGGTGTTATAGGGCAGTGTCCTCACTGTCCCTATATGAGCTGGGGGTGTTATAGGGCAGTGTCCTCACTGTCCCTGCTGGGTGAGGGGCTCCAGGAGCTGGGGCTGTTATAGTTTTCCTGGGCTGTTTGTGACTGGCAGCTGCTCCAGCGCCTGGCACGAGGGACCCAACCCTACGCCACCTCCGTGAGGTTCCTCCCATCCCTTCCCCCTCCCCACACACTGCCCCCCAGGGTGGCTCTGACCCCCCAGTCGCCGCCCTGGTGTCCCACGAGTGCCCTCGGTGTGTGCAGGTGGCCATCGTGGTGACGGACGGGCGGCCCCAGGACGGGGTGCAGGACGTGGCCGCCCGTGCCAGGGCCGCCGGCATCGAGATCTTCGCCATCGGGGTGGGCAGGGTGGACATGCCCACGCTGAGGCAGATCGCCAGCCAGCCCCTGGATGACCACGTGGACTATGTGGAGAGCTACAGCGTCATTGAGAAGCTGACCCAGAAGTTTCAGGAAGCTTTCTGTGGTAAGTCCTTGGCACCAAGCCCTGGGCTTCCCAGCCGGGAGCTGCACGGGGCTGTGCCAGCTTTTCATGGAGACATGGAATGCTTTGGGTTGGAGGGAACCTGAGAGACCATCTAGTTCCAACCCCTGCCAGGGGCTGAGACACCTTCCACTAGCCCAGGTCTCACCTGTTGAGTCAGCCTGGCAAGCAGGGAGGTCGAGCTGTGGTTTAAATGACCTTTAAGGGTCATCTGGACCATTCCCTGCAGGGACACCTTCCACTAGCCCAGGTTGCTCCAACCTGGCCTTGGACACTTCCAGGGATCCAGGGGCAGCCACAGCTTCTCTGTGCCAGGGCCTCATCTTGTGGGTTCCTTCCAACTCAGAATATTCTGGGATTCTGTGATAACTTGAAAAAGATTCCTTGGATGGCAGTAGAGGTAACTCTGGCCCTGGGTGAGGATGGAAGGGAATTGCCTCTGATCAGATCTTGGACTGAAGAGGCAGAAGAACAGAAAAGGAGGAAAACAGAATAAAGAATAAGATGTTCAGAAATACATCAGGTGACCTGGACATTGCATTAAACCCATTCCATGAGGCCCAGATGAGCTCCAGGGGTATGAAACTAAAAGAAACAGCAACTCTACTGGCCAAAATTTGGGTTTTCCTTGAAACCCTATGTCTCAAGACAACAATTTTGACATGGCTAAAATCTCATCTCATTTCTGAGGTGATAAATGAGGCTTCCAGCTGCACCCTTGGCTTCACCCCCACCTCACCTGTTGAGTCAGCCTGGCAAGCAGGGAGGTTGAGCTGTGCTTTAAATGACCTTTAAGGGTCATCTGGACCATTCCCTGCCACGGGCAGGGACACCTTCCACTAACCCAGGTTGCTCCAACCTGGCTTTGGACACTTCTAGGGATCCAGGGGCAGCCACAGTTTCTCTGGGCAACCTGTGCCAGGGCCTCCCCACCCTCCCAGCCAACAATTCCTTCCCAATATCCCATCTATCCCTGCCCTCTGGCAGGGGGAAGCCATTCCCTGTGTCCTGTCACTCCAGGCCCTTTTCCAAAGTCTCTCTCCAGTCTTTTCCCATGGAAGTTGTATGCATGATCATCCCTCATCCACCTGCTTCCTTGTTCCCAGGACGTGTCCTCAGGCGGGAGACAGATGCCCTTTAAGTTGCCTTTCCAGAATCATGGATTTTGTTCGGAGAATTCCAGGTTTTACTTGAAGTCTCCAGACTTGGCTGGCACAGCAGAGTTCAAACATGGCCCAGGTGCTCCTTGAGGCACTGAAAAACAACCAGGAAAACATGATCTTTGCACATCTAAAATAATTATTTTACTGTTTTTAAGCCTTTCTGAGCAGTTCTGAGAATTTGGTTTGAAATCCACCCCCCCCCCTCCAGTGTTGCCTCCCGAATTCCCAGTTCAGGAGGGATAGTTTCACTGAGCTGCCTTTTCCTGTTGGTTTTGGAAGTTTCATAAAGCAGGAATCTCTCCTGGCTGGTGCAGGATGTAACTCCTTTCTTCACAGCACATCAAAAGAGCCTGAGTATCCTACAAACACACATTCCCTCCTCCGTGAGCAGCTGAATGGAGTGAAAATACTTTATTACTTTCAAATGTACCCCCAAGGCTGCAGGAACGGTCCATAAATATCCATTTTATGGCAATAAAGGAGACCTGGGAGGCTTCACACTCCTGTTCCCTGGAAGAAAAGATGTGTGGCAACACTTCTCCCAAGGTGTGACTCCACCCTGATGATTATGGCACAACATTCCAAACACATCCACACGGCTGGGACCTGTCAAACTCCCCGAGACCAATTTCTCCAGGAGGTGTAAATTCTCCTGCTTCAACTCTCAGGTTGGAAATAATGGAGGTGAGCAGCTTTTCTGTCAAGGAAAATTGCCTCCCGTGTAGAAAGGAGGACAATTTGGAATACAGAGTGAGCCATGTATTATAATCAGGTGATAATAGAAAGTGAGGGGTGTTTTATCAGGTGTCACCACAGCGGGAGTTCACGGAAGAGGGGAAGAAATATTTCAGACTAAAGGAGGGAGAGAGAAAAACTGGAGAAGGTGGAGTCCAGGCCAGGAATATTTGTGGGAGTTTGTGTTGGCTGCCCTGGACTCAGGAGTCAGCCGGACATGGGGAGGCCTCACGACATGTGTTGAAGTTCTGACATTGGTGTCACTCAAAAAAAATAAAGGGGAAAGAATACTTTCCTTGCCTTGCTTTCCAAATTCCCAACGTGGGGATGACAAAGCTCCTCCCATGGTAAAAGCCCTCAGAGGTGCCTCCAAGGGAAGCACTGCAGGAACATCGGAGCACTGATGGACAGCCAGGTTGGCTGCTGGACCCTGGAGCAGCTGCCCCAAAACCACCCCTGGAGAGGAACCCAAACACCACCCAGCTCAGTTTGAGAGCAGGGAGAATCCAAGCTGCTTTCCATGTGCTCAAACTCATGAGGAAAAGGGATCCATCCAGTGGCAAGATCTCTGGAGGCTTCGGAGAACTCAACCTGAGAGCTCAGGGTCACACAGCTCCACGGGCAGGAATATTCCCAAGGACATGGGCTTCCTATAGGCTGGAAAGATCTACCAGACGTAGGAAGGCTAAAAAAAGTACAAAATATGTGCAGAGCAGAACAAAAATGACTTGAAATAACAAACAGAAGCCCCTTGACTCTGAAAGACTCTGTGTCACCTCCCATCAGTCGGATGGAACTCAGGGCTTGGAATTCTGCGCAGATTTCCCTGGTGTTTGGAAATGAATTTGCTTCAGCCAGATTTACTTTGGAGTGTGTTTTCCATCCCTGCTGGAGCTGGGACAGTGTTGTCACTCACCCACTGCTGCAATCCAGCTCCTGTTTGCTCAGCCCCTCAGGAGTCACATCCAGGTGAAACTCAGCAGGAACGTTTGTGGAGAGTGGATCTGAGAGCTGCACGTGTGAGAAGAGCTCTGGAGGGAATTCTGAGCATGAATCCCATCCAGGACAGACAACTGCACATGGGGCTGAACTCGGTGATCATATTTGTAGCGCAGAGCTGGAAAACATTGGGATTGGCCAGCCCAGAGGGTGGGTTGGAAAGCAAATGTCCTCCAGGAGCTTTGGAGGGGGAAGTGTGCTGGGATGGAAGCGTGCTGGGATGGAAGTGTGCTGGGA